TAAAATGCCGGAGAAATTTAAAAAGCTACTAGAAGGGGAAATAACAATGATGGAATTAATAGAAGCAATCAACAGAAAAAAAAATGGTAAAACACCAGGACCGGATGGACTACTAGCAGAGCTATATAAGACATTTCAGGAAGTACTAGGTAATGTAATGTTGGAACTTTATAATGAACTTCTTTCTGAAGCTAAGATACCAGATTCGTGGTCTGAAGCTCTTATTACTCTCATACCAAAGGAAGAAACGGAAACACAGAAAATAAAGAACTACAGGCCGATTTCCCTACTGAAAGTGGACTATAAAATATTTGCATCAATAATGGCGGAAAGACTTAAAAAGTTTTTAAATGAATTTATACAATTGGCTTCTTACCCAAAAGACAGATTAGAGACAATATGCGAATTATATTGAACACACTAGAATATTATGAAACACATCCCGAGAAGCAGATGGCATTGGTGTTCCTGACGCTCAGAAGGCATTCGACAATGTGAACTGGCAATTCATGATAAGCCAATTATAGACTATGGATTGTGGGGAGAAATTTATAAACGTAATCAGAACAATTTATAATAAGCAATCAGCCAAAGTAATGATAAATGGAGATATGACTTAGAAGATCAACATTATGAAGGGAACAAGACAGGGCTGTCCCCTATCTCCAGTGTTGTTTGTTCTGACATTAGAAGTATTAAATAGACGTATAAGACAGAATAATGACATAAAAGGGATGAAAATTAAGAGGGAAGAATATAAGCTACAAGCATTCGCAGACGATTTAGTATTTATTTTGGAGGAACCATTAGAGACAGGACCTGTATTAATAGAACAAACAGAAAAATATGGTGAGGTAGCTGGGTTGAAAATTAATAAAGATAAAACCAAAATGTTAGTGAAAAATATTACTGGAAAACAAAAAAGAGAACTGGTGGGAAAATTAGATATACAGATTGTAAAGAAGGTAAAATATTTAGGGATCCACCTGACAGCAAGATGCACAACAATTAAAGAGGATAATTATCATAAATTGAAAAGACAAATTGAAGTAGATTTGGATAAATGGAAAAATGTACAACTATCATTAATGGGAAGGATTGCAATAATCAAAATGAATATATTACCACAATTATTGTTTTTGTTTTCAACAATACCAATAAGATTAGAAAAGAAATATTTTGAAGGGCTTAATAAAATAATCTTGAAATATATTTGGCAGGGAAAAAAGGCAAGAATTAATCTAAAAATGTTACAAGATACAAGATTGAGACGTGGGTTTGGTCTACCTAATTGGGAATTGTATTATCAGGCTGCAGCATTATCATGGATGAGAGAATGGATCTTACTGAGGAATATAAGATTATTGACATTAGAGGGACATGATTTACAGTTGGGATGGCATGCTTTCATATGGTATGGAAAAAACATAATACATAACTATTTCCAGAGACACTATATAAGGAATTCTTTATTTGTGGTCTGGGAGAAAGTAAAGAGAAATCATTATTTGAAGATTCCAAATTGGCTCTCAACTATGGAGGCGCTAATACACCCCAATATGTTTAACATGGGAAACATTGTAAGATATAAAGACTTATTAACAGATATGGGGGAGTTGAAAACCAAACAACAATTAGAGGAACAAGGAATAAAGATGGATTGGTACATGAGAACGCAAATACAATCTAGATATGAAAAAGATGTTAAAATAGATGGTGTTAATTTGGGGACAACAGAGTTAGATGAAATACTCACAGGAATGGAAGAAAAATGGATTAAAAAAATGTACAGTTATCTACTACATATGGAGTTAGAGAAGGAACAAGTGAAAGAGACAATGATAAAATGGACAAGGAATTTTGGATACACAATTGAATTAGATAGATGGCAGCAACTATGGGAAAGAAACTATAAATTGACAATGGCGACTATGTATAAAGAAAATATGTACAAAATGTTTTACAGATGGCACATGTCTCCTGAAAGATTAGCTAAAATGTTTAAGGACAGGTCTATGAAATGTTGGAAATGTCATCAGATACCAGGTTCCTTCTACCATATATGGTGGATGTGTGTAGAAGCTAAAACTTATTGGAATATAATTAGAACATGGATAGAAAAGATGATACAACAACGTATAGAACTAAGACCAGAAATATTCCTGTTGGGTATTCTACCAGAAAATACAATAAAGAAAAAATATATTTAATTATTCATGTAATTACGGCAGCCAGGATTGTGTTTGCACAAAATTGGAAAGCACTGAAAGCCCCCCCCCCCAGAGGGAGAGGTGATTGGGAAAATACTGGAATGTGCAGAAATGAATAGACTAACAATGACAATTAAAGATAAGACAGAGTCAGACTACTATGAAATCTGGGGAACTTTTTATGATAGGCTGAAAAGAGAATATGGTTAAAAGATAGTTAACATCAATTTAGATGGAAGAAGAAGGAGCAGATAAGGAGGGAGACCCAGGCGACACAGTATTGAATAACTGGAGGTTGTATAAATGTTTATAGAAGTATATACCGAGAAGGTTAGATAAATAGAAGTATTAATCTTATTGTATATAATACAGATAGGGAAATTTGGAGAGAGGAGTTGCTCGGACATTACCCCTGAATTGTATCTGAAGAGGGATGAGAGGGAAGAAAGGAGAGGAGAGAGAAAAGAGTAAAGGAGGGGAGAAGGAAGTAGGAAGGTTGGAGGAGAAGAGGAGAAGTGGGGAGAAAGGGGAGGAGAGTGGTGAAGGAGAGGAGAGAAAGAAGAGGGAAGTAGGGAAGAGAAGAAAGGGAGAAAGAAGATAGAGAAGAAGCAGTGTGGATACGGTGAAAGGGGAAATGGGCAAGCAACACCAAAAGTCATATGTATGTATTTATTTCATTTTATTAAAGTATCTTATATATGAATGTAAAAAGAATGTATGTTAACATCTGATAAATATTACGGTATATGTATGGGGGAGAGTTTGGAAAAATAAAAAATTATTTAAAAAAAAATCAGAACTCAATCTTCTGAATATTGGAAACATAGATACAAAAGATCAAAGCTGGTTGTAACAACCAGTCAAACTTGGGGAATTAAAAAAAAGCTAAGTAGAGTCAGATCTGCTTAATAACTGAAAGACGACCACAAGGAAACTCTAGGGGCATAAGCTAGAATCAGAAGTTTTTTTTAAAAAAATTGGAAGAATGCAATCAATGATATACCATTTATATGTTGTTGCCAAGAAAATTGCATAATCTTGTCCATGTAGTCCCCAAGAAAGAAGCTTGATTTGATGAAGACTTTTGTTTGAGAGCTAGGAAAGTCTCCAGGAATTCCCAAAAAAGGGGTTTTGACAACACCACACTGAGACTGGAGGTTCCCTTTTACTATCAAAATAGTAAAAGTTGAATCATGGATATAACTAGTGTAAATGTTCTGTAATTAATTTTTTCTTGTGGCATTAACTCTTTTTCTAATGATTACTAATTATAATTTGACAGGCGTTCCCGTACAGTTGTTTCAGTGCAGAGTTTTCAGCATGAATAGATGAGCTGTTCATGAGACTATGCTAACCCTTCCTCTCCAATGTAGAAAATGTGTAATCCCACAGTACCCATGGTATGATTTTGGACTCTGACAAAAATGAGTTTATATACACCCTGCTTATATAGACATACATCAGAGCTTGGGAGAGCTGGGATTTTTATTATAGCCAGTGCTTTTTTTCTAAAAAAAAATGTGCAGGAACTCACACACGTCATACAACCCGCCTAGCCTACCCTACAAGGTTCCATCCAAAAAAGGTGCCGGAACTCCATTCTGTGTGTTCTATGAGAAAAAAAAGCCCTGATTATAGCTAATATCCAAAGAAAAAGTTAACAGATTAACCACCTCTGTTTTTGTAGTCTGGCTAAAATGGACCTGATCAATCCAGAAAGATAACAAGAGGGTTTTTTCTAAAGTAGAAAGCCCAGAGAGTTGAGCGTTTCTTCTTAGATCTCATGCTGAGATTTTTTTCCCAGTTAAAGAAACACACAAAAAGAAAAACACATATTACTGAGAATTTTTTAATATTTTCTTGCCTTTTTGATTTCTGGAGTACTTGCTCAAGTTCACACTCCACCCACCCACCCTGCACTCCAAATGTTCTAAAAACAAAACAATATTCTGCACGATTTAATTGAAAACAACATAGATAAAGATGTGTTAAATTTAACATTCAAATGTTCCTTTCAGCTTCCTGCACCTATTTTCCTCCATTGGAAATACTGAAGTCTCATTTGGAGCTGTCCAAAATTGACAAAATGTTTTAGTATTCAAAATCAAAGGCAACCACATTTTTCATAATTTAAGTGTTAGATTTCTAAAAAAAAATAATCTGAAATTCAAAATTTAAGTTTAAATCCAGTGGATTTGAATGCTCAACACTTTTAGTTCTCTTATTTTTTGTAAGTACAATAAAAATTAATTTTCTATGAACCAGAAAACTAGAATTGTTAGTATTTCATCCAAGAAAGAAAATGACAATTAGCAGTATAGGTTTAAGAAACTGGCATGGTCTTAAACTGATAATCATAATAACATAAATTGTGTTTGTCTATGATAAATAATTTATTATCATTGACAGTCAAAACATTAAGCATATTGATTGATTGACTGATTGATATAAATCAATAGGTATTATTATGATCAATTATCACTGTTGGATTTTTTTTGAAGATTATTTTGAAGACAATTTATGTGTGGGATCCTTTCTGAGCTTGTTAGTTTTCTTGCAGACATTTCATTACCAAACTAGGTAACAGTATCTATGCTACCCTTTATTTTTTAAATACTTGTTAAGGTCATATCAAGAGTTATTTTAGATTTATGTTGCATGTTGCATATCTATGGAAGTATTGGCTTCAGACACATACTTATTTAAAATCTGTGGGTTCAGAGGGAAACTACAATGATAAAAGAAGCTTTTTATTTAAGATTAACTCCTGCTGACCTCATCAGAGGCATATTGTGTCACTGTGTAAGAAATTTTATGAACTGGAACAGCCATAGCAACAAACCAGCTAATGAGAACTGTTTTGATTAAGACACAGTATTGGCTGTGAGAGGCATGTGATCCAGCCTAAGTCTGGGTGTGTCTTAGTCTTCTCTGTGTTGCTTTTCTTCTGATCTCCAAGTTAAGAGTTGTTGATGTTCCCCAGAGCAGAATGAAACTGTATGTATCATTTTTCTATATATTTTATAGATAAAGTTTTTCTAAACTATGCCTCCTGCTCATGTGTGCTTATTTTTTGGGTTTATTTTTGTGCTGGAAAGCTATACATTCTAACAGGTTATGGGCCCAGATCCCAGCCAGCCCTTGCACACAGTTCAGACTGAAGAAAAAGATTGAGGCTCAACATGGAGCTGTCAAAATCTGAATTAAGAAAGAAAAAGGCTGCTCAGCTGGAGGCTTGCAGGATGGCTGATTTAAAGGAGAGCTCTCTGCCTCGATTGGGACAAAAGAATTATCTTATTTGGGCTGCAAAAATGGAATGCTTCCTGAAGGCTCAGGAGCTCTGGGATATTGTGATTAATCCACCCCAGGGGCAATTAGCAGCTGCAGATCAACGGAGGCATGATAAGGCATTGGCTTACATCATCTTAAATGTGGAAGATAAACAATTCTTAAATGTAGCTACCTTAAAAACTGCAAAAGAGGTTTGGCTGAAGCTGAGAAGTGTCCATGTGAGTGCTTCAGCATGCAATATAGTGCAATTATCGAGGCAATTGTGCAGAGCCGGGCTGCTGCCACATGAGAGCGTGGAAAAGCATTTGCTCCACATGCCGAAGCTGTTTGTTGAATTAGAACAGTGAGGAATGCATATTCTTGAATCTCAGAAGGTTCTGTTGGTACTAAATAGTCTTGATTAAACGTGGGCCATTGTTTCAGCCGTTTCTGAATGCAGACCAGAACAGGAATTAAGTATGGAAGGACTTAAAGCCTGTTTGATTTCAGAAGAACAGAAATGCCATTTTAGACAAAGCCACAAGGAGAAATTCCTGAGGTGGGGGTCCAAGGAGCAGAGAGAGCAATGCAGCAGACTGACTGTCTACAGAGATCAGATTATATCTCAGCAGAGAATTACCAAGAGGAAAGAATAGGAGATAAAGACATGCTTCATCTGTGGGGCTAAAACTCATTTAAAGAAAAACTGTTTACAAGGAAGAATAATAGCAAATGGATAGGCTGCTGTTGCAAAAGCAATAGCAGAGACAAATGGTTAATAGACAGTGGAGCTAGTCAAACAATTGTTAATAATTCTAAGTCAGTGGTGGCAAACCTATGGCATGCATGCCAGAGGCGGCATTCAGAGCCTTCTCTGTGGGCACACGCGCTGTTGTCCCAGCAGAGTTTGCCAGAGTAGTGAGCATGTGGCGTTTGGAAGTGACAGGGCAGGAAGTGAGTGAGCAAGCGGCGTTGGCCCCCTGGGGATGCCCCTGAGATGGTGAGGGACTGGCCCTGGCCACGCTCACCTAGTCTGCTGTGACCATTGCAGCCATGCCCACCCAGTGGGCCACGATCCCCCAGCCCCCTGAGGGCACCACAATGCTGATGCAGCCCTGGCACTTTGCGATAAATACGTGGGTTTTGGGTTGCAGTTTGGGCACTCGGCCTCTAAAAGGTTCTCCATCACTGTTCTAAGTTGTTTTCCAGATTGGATTCAACTGGAGGAGATGCAATGGCCTTAGCAAATGGCCAGAAGGCAAAAGTCATGGGAAAAGGTAGTGTGCTGATTCCATGTCTGGAAGAAAGGTTTAATAATGTATTATGTGTGCCTGAAATGGAGCATAATTTACTAAGTGTCTCCAGTCTTGATAAACAAGGGCTTGAAACCACATTTGTGGATGGGAAATGTCTCATAAAAAGAAATGGGAATGTATGTGCACAGGGCATAAAACAAGATAATCTTTATGTGTTGCAGGCACAAAAGATATAATGTGCCCTAACATTTGGTAATGTGGCATAACATGATTTATGCTTTCATCTCTTGCACAGAAAGCTTGGCCATGCCAGCTTCAGAATGTTGCAAAGGATGTCAGAGTTTGCAAAGGGATTAACCTTAAAAGGGCATAAGACATACTTAGACTGTGCAGTATGTAAATCATCGAAATCTAAGGTATTCCCAGTGAGCAAGAAGAGCACAAGGTAGACAACAAGGGTGCTAGAGCTGGTACATGCAGATTTAATAGGACCAATGCAAGCCAGCTTGGGAAGAGCAAGATATGCACTGGTCATTGTAGATGATTTCAGCAGATTTTGTTTCTGTTATTTGCTGCAGAAGTTCAAGCAATGGGTGTGCTAAACATAAAGAAGATATAGGCAACAGGTATGCCAGCTGCAAAGTGACGGATTCAGAATTCATGTCAGCAAGTTTTCAACAGTGGTTGGGACAACTAGGAATAAGACATAGATGGACAAATCCGTACACAGCAGCTGAGAATGGTGTGACTGAAAGACAAAATGGAGTCTTGCAGACCATGAAAGATTCACTGCTGGAGGATTCTGATCTGAGCAGGTTGTATGCAAATATGCAAATTATTTGGTCAATAGGCTGTGGAGTTCCTCTATCAATGATACTCCATATGCCTTGCTCTATGGGAGAAAGCCATCTCTAGCACATTTAAGGGTGTTTGGAACAAAGCATGGGTGCCTATTCCAAAGGCAATCAGGAGAAAAGGGCAACAGAAGGCTAGAAAGCTCAGGTTTATGGGCTATGAGCCTGGCTCAAAGAGCTATCGCTTTATTGATGGGAGCAGAAGTATAGTAATTTTCAGATCTGCTAGCTTTACAGAGCAGAATTGGGGCAAAATTGATGCCAATTCTGGGGATGATCCACTTAGTGACAGTGACTCACTTTGTGATGCTGTCAGCGTTCAGGGAGGAGAAGCTGAAAAACAGCAAGAAAAGGAGTCAGAAGAAGATGGTGACTCTGATGTGAAGCAGGAAAGGGTTGACAGTCAAGAGCAGTCAATCCCACTCAGGTCAGAGCGAAGGAACAAGGGGATTCTACCTGACAGGTATTCTGCTGAGAAAGTAAAGGTGTGTAATATGTGGTATGAGCCAAGAAACTATCACGATGTATTGGCACTACCCAAAGTGGAGCAAGTGAAGTGGAAAGAGGCCATGGACAAAGAAATGAAAATGTTCACCTCTAAGACTTTGCCACAAGCTGTAGGATGTAAATGGGTAAACAAAAAGAAATGTTACACAACAATGAAGTCCAATATAAGGTAACATTAGTGGCACAGGGATTTTCGCAGAAGAAAAATGTGCACTATGATGAGGTATTTGCACCAATGGTAAAAAGTGAAACTATAAAGTTGGCACTAGCATTGGCAATAGCATGTGGTCATAAAATTTGGCACTTTGATATAACCACAGCATTTCTCAATGCAGAGTTGGAGGAAGAAATTTACATGGTTCAAGCACCAGGGTATGAAAGTAAAAAGCCTGGCACTATGTATAAATTGAACAAGGCCATTTATGGGCTGAAGCAATCAGCCAGAAATTGGAACATCTGTTTAGATACAGCATTGAAGGATCTTGGGTTCAAGAGTTATAAGGCTGATGGTTGCATATATACTGCAAGTTTCCATGGTGGGGATTGCCAATTATTAGCATTGGTGAATGTTCTTTGCTTCATTGCAAAGATGTAGCACAGGTGAAGGAATTTGCTAATCAATTGGAGTAAAATTTGAGTTGAAAAGTCTGGCTGAAATACAAAACTATCTTGGTGTAGAGAAACAACAAAATGAGAAAGGTGGCTACGTTCTCAGTCATAGAAGGAAAATGAACAGCTGTTGGAGAGATACAACATGAAGGATTGTAATTCTGCTCCAATATCTATTAGCATAGATTTTCACAATACTTTGGGTGAGGACAAAAGTGATCAGGAGATATACTATATCAGTCAGCCATAGGAAGCCTGTTGTATCTATCACAGTGGTCCAGACCAGACATAGCTTGTGCAGTAAGCATCTTAAATTACTTTACTGCCTCACCAACGCAGTTGCATTGGATGGGTGTGAAGAGAATTCTCAGGTATTTGAAGAGAACGGTGAATTTGGGTCTTCAAATACAGATCTCTGAAGAGTTAAAGTTTTAATGTTATGTTAACAGTGATTATGCCAATGATGTGCAAACCAGAAAGTCCAATTCTGGGTTTGTGGTATTATTTGGAGGGATTTTAATTGGATGGAAGTCCAGAAAACAAACAACTGTAGCTATTTCTACTGCAGAGGCAGAATTTATTGCTCTCTCTGAACTTTGTTCAGAGGTAACCTGGTAGGTACAGCTGTTAAAGGATTTAAATATAGAAGTTAAAGAAGCTGTAACAGTATTTGAAGATAATGCTGCTTGCATTAAAATGGCAACAGGTGACAGAGTGAAAAGTAGAAGCAAGCATGTGGACATTAAGTATTGTAATGTCAGAGAAGCCATCAAAAGTAAACTAATTCGCTTGTTTCATTGTTCTTCAGATTACAATCTAGCAGATGTAATGACCAGGCCATTGGATGGAGTACACTGTGGGAAGAGTATTAAATTATTTGGTTTTATATCTATTCCAGTCATAAAGGGAGGAGTGTAATTTCTTCTGTGTAAGAAATTTTATGAACTGGAATAGCCATAGCAACAAACCAGCCAATGGGAACTATTTTTGATTAAGACACAGTATTGGCTGTGTGAGGCATGTGATCCAGCCTAGGTGTGGGCATGTCTTAGTCTTCTCTGTGTTTTTTTCTGATCCCCAAGTTAAGAATTGTTGATGTTCCCCAGAGTTGAATGAAACTGTATGTATCATGTTTATATATATTTTATAGATAAAGTTTTTCTAAACTATGCCTCCTGCTCATTTTGAATGTGTGCTTATTTTTCGGGCTTATTTTTGTGCTGGAAAGCTGTAAAATCTAACATGGATGTCAAACTCAATTTCATTGAGGGCCGCATCAGCACTGCGGTTGTCCTCGGGGGGGGGGCGGGTGTGTGTGGCCAGGGTGTGTGTGGCCTACTGGGTGGGCGTGGCCAGCTTTATATCATTCACGTCAAGCATAGGTGGCACCATGCTCAATAGTAGTAACTGTGAGAGGGACCTCGGAGTCCTAGTAGACAATCACTTAAATATGAGCCAGCAGTGTGCGGCAGCTGCCAAAAAGGCCAACACAGTGCTAGGCTGCATTAACAGAGGGATAGAATCAAGATCACGTGAAGTATTAATACCACTCTTCAATGCCTTGGTAAGGACACACTTGGAATACTGCATCCAGTTTTGGTCACCACGATGTAAAAAAGATGTTGAGACTCTAGAAAGAGTACAGAGAAGAGCAACAAAGATGATTAGGGGACTGGAGGCTAAAACATATAAGGAACGGTTGCGAGAATTGGGTATGTCTAGTTTAACGAAGAGAAGGACAAGGGGGACATGATAGCAGTATTCCAATATCTCAGGGGCTGCCATAAAGAAGAGGGAATTAAGCTATTTTCCAAAGCACCTGAAGGCAGGACAAGAAGCAACGGGTGGAAACTAATCAAGGATAGAAGCAACCTAGAACTAAGGAGAAACTTCCTGACAGTGAGAACAATTAATCAGTGGAACAGCTTGCCTCCAGAAGCAGTAAATGCTCCAACACTGGAAGTTTTTAAGAAGAGACTGGACAGCCATTTATCCGAAATGGTGTAGGGTTTCCTGCCCGAGCAGGGGGTTGGACTAGATGACCTCCAAGGTCCCTTCCAACTTTACTATTATTATTATTATTAAGAGTGCCTGTGGGGGCTTGGGCAGGAGTGGGACAGATCTGAGGCTCTCTGGCAGAAGAGGGTGGGACCAGGGGAAGGGCCAAGGCATGGTCCAATGGAGGAGTCTCACTGTTCATCTCAGGCCATGCAGGGGGGGGGTGGATGGTGGCGTGGGCTGCCCGGAGTCCTGGGCAGCAGAGGTCAAACACCAGTCTGGCCCTCATGCACCAGCGGGACCTAGCCCAGCCCCACTTCCTCAAGGGGGCACCCAGCTGCACTTACCTCCTCCTCAAGGCTGCTGCTGCTGTGCTTGCTCTCTTTACCCAGGTTGCTTATGATGGATATGAGGACAAAGGGTGACACCTCCCCAGCATGCACCCAGGGAGTAGGGACGACGTGGCAGGGGCTGGTTCCTCGCTGTTTCCAGATGGCCTTGTGGAGCTAAGACTGAATTCGTTTCAGCATAGATGGCCACCACAAAATTGTACATTGGCTCCTGGCCAGCCTGGGCCAGGGACAAGGCAGCAGGGGCCGTTCCCTCACTGTTTCCAGGATGGCTTCGTGGGCCACATGAAACCACTTCGCAGGCCGCATCCGGCCCCCGGGCCTTGTGTTTGACATGTCTGCTCTAACATATTGGTCCTAGACTAGTTGCCACTTTTTTTCCAATGTAATGTTTACTCTAAATGGCGCCCTTGCCACTTTTTTTTCAATGTAATGGCAGTATTTGCCCATGCCTTCTCCTGGTCTATTTTCCAATTTTGCAACCTATTCACAGCCCTGGAATTCCCAAATGGTTCTTTATCCACAAACTAGCCACTGCAGACTCTACTTAGTTTACAAGATCAGCCAAAGATGATTATTTGATGCCATCTGCAGAGATTCACCATTCACCAATTTTATATTTTATAATGAACAATACAGCTCAGGTAATTATAGTTTCTGAACAACCAAAGCTCAATGTTTGCAGACTTACATTTTAAAGACAAATTATATAACAGTTCCACTTTATGGAAATTTGCATGGAAAGTATAAATGTAAGAATATTTTTCAATATTAATTTATCTATTCCATTTTCTATTACAGTAACATATTTTTCAGTTATATAATAATCCCACTGCTAATTGTTCAGGTTCAACTTCATTTTAAGGCTATTTTTTTTACAGCTGAGCAGCGGAATTTCCTTGGCACACATAAATAGCTTTAGCTTATTTTTTATTAAAAATTTGTTTAAATCCAAGATTAAAAGTATCCTAGCCACAAACACTCTTTCCCCAACTAATGTTTTGAAATTAATAGATTAAGCAATACTGGATTTCTCTTTTTCATGATAAGCTCCAGTTTTTCAGATAAATCTATATAAGGGTAAATGGCAATAGAAATTGGGAAAAGAAAGGCTAATTATTAGAGCTGTGCTCCAAATCACAGTAAAACTTGAACCCAGATCAATTCAGGACCATTTTGGACAGATTTGTGTTCACTTAGTATATAGACAGCTCCAATTCATTATGTCTTAATTGCAAAAGATGCACAAAATTTTGTCCCCAATTTGCTGATACTATAGATAGATATATACATATTACAAAGATACATATTATAACACATTTTGACTGTGTGTACAACACCTTGGTGAAAATAGGATGTAGAAGGAATTCTGAAATCAGCAAGGTATTTGAAGATAACAGTAACACTAGGAGTCCAACAATTATTGATCACCCCAGTAGACAGAGTAGATTATGGGAATAAAATTAATTGGACAATACAAGACACTGGACAGAGTAGATTATGGGAATAAAATTAATTGGACAATACAAGACACTGACTAGAAAAACTGGAGGCAGGTTGGACTTTGCTGATGAAACTGTACTTAAAATAGGTTATCTGGAGCTAATGGGAATTTCTATTTAAATGTTAAAAGGAGAATATTCCTAGCAAAGACAGAACTGTTCTTTCTTCGGGAATAAGATTAGATGACTGGTCAATGCCCAGTAAGCCAAGATATTTCCAGAGCCTAATAGTTATCCTGCAGAGTGAGTTGAGTGGTTTCTGCACAATGCTACTTACTACAACAATATTTCATATTCATCCCAGTTCTTTTATCTGGTCACTGCAGCCTATGACATATCTTCAGATACTTCTGAATTAATGTCCTATAAAAATGTTTATAATCCAACTGTTTTGGTATGGAAAATGTTAGAACATTTTGAAGATCATCTGTTGTTTGGTTTACTATTACAGAAAGAAAATAGATAAATATCACAGTTTAATTGCCTTAATTAAATGGATGAAACCTAATAAATCCAGTATCCAGTATTATACAACAAAAATGACAATAATTTGTCAAATCTAACAACTGTCATCAATCAGAGCTGCTAACCAGAACTGTAATAATTAATGAGTTCTGGTTTTTTTACTGCAGCTTTTAATTCATGGTTGATTTGTAAACTCAATTTATTTTATTATGGTAGAATAAAGTAGATAGCTAAAAATATAGAATAATACCTAACTTCTTTTGATCCCTCACTTCCCTTCCTCCCCCCCAGTTATAAGAAAGCTACAGCATAAACTATAATATTAATTTTAGTGCAGGAAAGCCAAAAGTCTGGTTTACCTGATCCAAACCAGCATTAGCAACATGTATTTATATTTCCTATTTCTTAACTGCCCATCTCTCTCTCTGCTACCAAAATTTAGTGATAAAATGCCAAAAAGTAGTGTTATGTGATTTTCTATATTTTTAAAACCATTATAAGAAGTAAAACTATGTTATATTTTCCCACTTTGGTCACCCAGATCTTTCCAATTTATAAAAACTTTTAGAAAGACTCTAGGAATGAAGTCCAACTACTCTGGAAAGAATGGGATTTCTCAAAAACTCCAATTAAAATTTACCCCCAATTCCTATTGAAATAATTCCTGATATTTAAAGACAGCATAGATGCCAATTGTAAAGATGTTGTGTTTGCTGGCTGTTGGTAGTGGCCAAAACCAATTGTATACACCAGTTTAATCTGAAATGTAAAACACGTTACTGTTTACTGATGTCTCTAGATGAGGAAAAACACCTAGATGTGATGATGGATCCAGATAAAGCCCTCTTTCATGTAACTCCATATATAGCATTAGTAAGCTAGTGCAATTACTGTCTCCTTGTGCTGTTATGTCAGTTTATCTCACATGTGCTTGAGATGATTATTCAACCAAAAACATTATCAGCCATTTTCTCTTCTGCAGATGAGCTGATTCCAGATCACATATGACTACTTTATTCTTTCTATAAGTGTTTAATTTATTTGCCAAGATATATCTTTGTCTGATTTCTTGCATAAAGCATTCTTAAAACCATAGTGTAAGCAAAACAGCAGCCATTTTTTCCATTACTCTGATAGATCATCTGTTTATTTACAAATAACATAGATTTATCTAAAACTACCTGTCTTCCTTCCATTGCTCCTCGCATTTCCTTGAAAGTTGAACTGAATTCTCCAATGAAGTCATGCTTGCCATTGGAATCCCAGTCCCAGACTATGCACTGAAAGAGAAATATAAAAACTAAAAAATCCCAGAATTTTGATTAAAATAACAGAAACAACTCTTTTTTCATGGGGAAAAATGTCAGTTAAAGACTGTACAAACCATGTTCAAATTCTTAATATCCCCTCTACAATAAAATGAGAAATTTCTACCCTAAAATCCATGGTCATCTCAACAAAAGCCATCAACTAGACCAAGAGTCCTGCAATAACCTCAAACCTTAACTATGGTTTGTCAGGGCTAACAAGGCCATGGTATAAAGCAGATATTCTATCTATGTTTGGGAAGGGGTGTGCATCCCATTTCATATATATTAAAGCCACTCAGATTTTTTGGCTTTCATGCTGATCTAAAAAATTTGCAGCTGCTTTAGAGGAACCACTTGCTAAAGTAAACAAGACTTTTAGACAATGGCCTTTTTGTCAGGCTCATATGGGAACTTAAAAAATAATGATGGAGCTTTATGAAATAAGAATTCCAAAGAATGTTTTCTAATCATTAAAGTCATAAGTACCTTTTGGGGGATCTATCGTGCTCTGAATGGTTACTAACAACTGGCTGTTAAGTGAGGACCACCAGTAGTTTCTTCTTCCTTCAACTTAAA